GCGATAAACGCTTAGAATGAGTTTTATGTAAACTTGTGTCTGAGACGCTCCTTGGGCAGATTCGCGTTCTGCAGCGGGTCGTGCTAGTCCCGAGCCTCCCTCTTCTGTTACAGTAATGCTGGAAGCAGGACGTGAAATGGAATGTGCTTTGCAGCTGTTTTACAATTAGTCTTGCAGTTAGTTCCTCTTGCTGTTGGTGGGGCTGGACCAGATGATCTCCAGAGGTCTTTTCCAAACCTACCTGTTCTGTGATTAATGTTTGTAGTATAGTGGTAATATTAGTAACATAAAAACAGTATTAAGATGAAATAACTGCTGAATCCCAGTAACAGCTGGACATTTGTTCTTGAGTGTTTAACTGTTCTCTGTGGAATAATAACTTTGAGATGAATTTTGATCAGACTTCAGCCTTGCAGTTAAGTGCTCTGCATGGATTAGGTGTGCTGAAGTGTTGGATGAGTCCTTGTTAGACTTCAAAGAAGCTACAGCCCCTTGTGATCTCTCTTTATGTGGAAAGGGCAGTGATTACTTTTAGAAAACAATGTTTTGTTCCTGTTCTACTTATTTCCCTCTTTTGGGGTTCCTTTTTTTTTCCTGTAGTGTCACACCTCTACTTCCAAGTATCCTTCAGCAACCAGTGAGGACTCTCACTTACTGCAGCTTGCGGAATGGGAAGAGGAAGAGTGTGAAATCTGTTGTCAAGAGGTTCCTGCGGCTGCACAATGGCCTCTGGGTTAGGAGACAGGTGAGACTTTTGGGGGGCTACAAGCTGGGTTTTACAGTCAGTGTAAAGCCTCATTGTTTTCCTCCCCTTAGAGTGTAGTGGCTGCTATGGAACTTAAAATAAGCTCTGGAGAAACCTCCATTTTCCAGAAAGTGGGGAATTTATCCAGGTTTGCTTCTGAGTGTGACTGCCTATGTGTGTGTGCAGTGACCCACTTAAAAGTGGAGGGGTTTGTGTGTTTTCTTCTGCCAGTCTGGTTATAAGAAGAGGCTGTGGAAGAAGTCAGCTGCCCAAAGGAACCGTTTGAGGAACCTGGTGTTGTGCACCAGGACACAGTGTAAACTCCTTGATAAGATGACCACTTCCTTCTGGAAGAGAAGAACGTGGTACGTCGATGACCCCTACCAGAAGTATCACGATCGCACCAATCTCTGTGTATAGAGATCTTGGGTTTCTGTTTGCATCCCTCTGGGAATGAGGGTGGTCATGTGGTGTGGTCTGAATCTTGGAACATAAATCCATGTCTCTTCTAAGTAAACACATTCATATCATCTGAGCAGAATTATAGGAATCAATGCCCAAAATAAAGGAATACTCAAAGTTATCTTCAGATGCAGTTTGTTTTACTTTACATGTTCTGGTGTCTGGTGGTTTCTTGGGATTGTGTGTAACATGGAGGAATAGACTCTAAACATCACTAAAAGTAAATTATTCAATGTGTTTAATCTTAAAATTTTAAAAGAAATGTGTTTAAATAACCCCAGAATCTATTTTGCTGTGTCCATACTTAGTGATGTCTCACTGAATAAAGTCTCCTGCTGGAAGATGAGAAAGGAGAGCAGGGTCCATCTCAGTATTATTGCCTGTTGCAATTCTAGGTAAACTTGCCATGTCTCCATGCTAGAGAGTGTAGAGAAAAGCCCAAAACAGAATTTCATGGCTACATGCAGTTTTTATAACTGATTTTAAAATGTATTGGCCACCCAACTTTATTACAGGGCTCACATCTGTGTTGGTTTTTG